CCGCCTGGGCTGAGAGACCCCGCCCCACCCTCAGCAGCATGGCTTCCACGTGCCTCAGCCACTGACTGCCGCCTGTCTTCCCCACGCCGAGCCCTGACCGCCGTTCTGAAGCGTGGCACACGGTCCGCGGCTGAGGAGCGGGGTCAGTGTGTGCGGCTGAGGAGCGGGGTCAGTGTGTGCGTGTGGGTGTTTTGTTCCTGCTGGGTGGTTCTTTCATGTTTTAAGGGGCCGTGGCGTGCCGTAGCTTCCTCTGGAGAGTATACACACTATTTTTAAACCTAACCAGGGATTAGTTCGGTCAAGATGAGCGAACCTATCTGTGTTATCACACGAGAGATCAGCAGTGGTCCATCCGGACACCTGTCTGTGTTCATTCCCAAATGTGTCAGCTCTTCTGTGCCTGCCCTCAGGTCGGTGGGGAGAACTGCTTACAAGGCAGACTCCCAGAGAGCTGCTGCGGTGGGGTCTCTTCTAGACCGACTCCCGGATATTAAGAAAGCCTTTTAAGTACAATTAGCTGTTACTTAAGCCAATGCTGTGCGGTCTCTACTTGGCTTTTTCCTTTTTTTCACCAGTGCACAACACATTCCTTACACCTTCTAAGAACAGAGCAGTGGGAGTTGGGGTGACGTGGCATTAGTGGTTTGTGAAGTCACCACACCCCACTTACGCTGCGACGGGACATGGGGCCTTTGGCTTGTACGCTGTAAAGACGCACCTGCTCTCTGCAGCCTTCCCTGCTCTCCTGGGCTGCCTTGTATTACTCCGAGTAGCGAGTAGTGTACGCAGGGTGCAGACCTTGATCTCTGGAGTCAGAGTCGTAAATCAGTGTGTATAGCCCCCTTAGGTGCCATGTTACCTACCATCACCTCCCGTGAACTGGACTCACTGTTCTTTAGTGAAATACGAGAACCGTTTGCTTTTGCTCTTCTTGCCAGTGGGCATGAGTTCTCCCCGAACTCTCCAGAAGCTCTAGTTTTACATTGCAAATTGGAGTGACGAAGGCAAGGCTAGCGTCTCTGCTGTGTCTGCCCAGTTTTCATTTCATTTACATCAGCGCATCCACTACTGCATCTACTAATTCTCAAGGCAGTCTTAGTCTACCCCGCCACAATATTCCCTTGTCAGCAGAGGGACGGGATCCTGATAGTGCCTTGTTTTTACAGAGTCTTGAGTAAGTATTTCTCTATATATATTTCTACATTCCTTTTTAACTGGATGCAGTTTACAATAAAATGGACAAGTTCTTATGAACACTTGGGTTTTGACAGGTACCCCAATCAGGATGTGAACGACCTCCCTTACCACAGCGGGTCCCTGTGCTCAGGTTCTGTGGCAGTGGCATCCTTTCGTGTGCAGGCTTGTGTCTTGACAGGTCCTGTTCAACATAGCATTAGGACATCCGCGTTACGTGCCTTCCTGGCGCCTTCCTTCTCGTCGCTAAGCGGCATCAGCAGCTTGTAGCTACCCCGTGGTCTGCCCGTCTCTCAGGAAATACTAAATGGAGTTGCAGGCCAGTCATCTTTGATGAGCCGGCTGACTCCATTGACAGGTTGATCGGTTGGTTACTACGTACCTTGCCAGTCTTCTGTCAGCCCTGTTAAATATTGGTGCTGCTCCTCACATTCCGAACGTTTCTGATTACTCCCCTCTTTCAAAGGGCATCTGTGCTTGCCAGAGAGACCGGGAAGTGAGAAAGCACACATGTGTGGCACGGGCCGCCGCCGTCCTTCTCTATCCCCACCCGGGACGCGCAGCGTGCATGCTCATGCTCCAGTGGGCCTCCGCGGCCTTAACCACCATGCTGTGGACTGACCTCTGAGCACTTATTTCAGAAGCCTAAAAAGCTATGGATTTGGCATTTGTCTACCAAAGACAGGTTTTATCATTAAAAAGAGAACATTTTTCTAGATGTAGATTTTCTTATATTGCTGCTTGCTTTTTTTCTTTTTGCTTAATGTTTTGATGGCATGCCAAATTCCTGGAATTTTGACATGAGTCCTATTTATAGATGTGGTATTGTGAGGTTTTCCATGAGCTTCTGGGGGGTAAATCCCTTTGCACTGTAAACTTTTAGTTGCCTTAGCACTGTCCTCTCTAGATAGCATGACAGCAAAGACCTTTTATATCCTCTTTCTTTTAGTGAACTAGATCCTAGAGACTTTCTTTTCTTTGAGAGAGAGTTTTGCTATGGATACTCGCTGGAATGATGGAGAGACAGAGAGAGAAGTTACCTGCCAGTGGGGAGGATGGCCGTGCTGCAGTCCCTTCTCCTCTACCCTCCTCGTAGGATTTTGGGCATGAATGCACACGCATCTGGCATGAGTTTCAAACCGCCGGGTCCAGCACTTGAACTGTGGTTGACTGTGGAATACAGCAACATTATTGTTATGCCATTTGTTGGTCCCGTTCCTAGAAACTTGTTTGTTTTGTTCTCTTTTAGGTTTTTGTGATATGGCGTGTGCACTTGCCTGAGAGACACAGAAACAGAGAGAGAGAACGTGAGAAATTGCTCCCCATACCCCCAGCCCATGGCAATGGCCGTGTTGCAGCCCCTTCTCCTGGGGTTGTGGGCATGCACACTCATGCACCTGGTGTGGTTTTCAGGCTGCCAGGTCTGGGACTTGAGCCATGGTCAGCCATGTGGGAGTCTAGCACCTTCACCACTACACCACCTGCTGGCCCCAGAGGTGTTTCTGTTTTGCAAAGTAGAGCAGAATAATATAATAATAATTTGGGAAATAGTATGTTTTCAAATTTTATATATTCAGTGGCAAAGAACTCTTATGATGTTGGCGAGGCTGGCTCCAGGTGGAGCAGTAGCACACTGGACTGCACGTGGCGGCCACAGCTTGGCTCTCAGCCCAGGCAGCCTGAAACACCGCAGGCACGTGTGCGGGGCCAGGACCCGATGGGCTGGCGGACGGGGTCATGGCGTGAGGACCCTGCAGAGGGTGCTTGCCTCTTTCTTGTTGGTGCACACATGTACACTGTCACGGGTAAAGAGAAAAAGTAAAGCTTCAAAGTACAACCAAGAAATGGATGTTTTTAAGAATATGTCAGTTTGTCTTGCGTTTTGATACAGATCGTTACGTGTTTAATGAGGGATATGAAAAGAGAATGTTTTATCCTGCATATTAAATGGCTCTGAAAGCTGCCCTTAAGTTCAAAATACCTTTTTCTCTTGGGTAAATTGCTACTTTTTCATAGCACGTTCCATGAGAGTACTTTTCTTTGGAAATTTACTTTTCATGTGTGTGTGTGTCTGCGTGTGTGTAAATACATATATAATTTCTAAAACTTGACTCATTTGTCTTTATCATTTTTTCTTTATATGTTTTAGGAAGCGATTCTTTTTAGGAGGCGGTTCAGTTACTTCTGAAGCATTCTGCCGATGTTAATGCCCGAGACAAAAACTGGCAAACCCCTTTGCACGTGGCTGCGGCCAACAAAGCTGTGAAGTGTGCGGAAGCCCTGGTGCCCCTGCTCAGCAACGTGAACGTGTCCGACCGAGCGGGCAGGACCGCACTGCACCACGCGGCTTTCAGTGGCCATGGCGAGGTAGGTGGCGGCCCGTAGGCAGGAGGCTCTCTTTACCTCCCACCTTCCGGTTACTGAGGAACTTGCCTTTTTGTTGGCGTTCACTAGTTCCTAGTAAGAGCAGAAATACTGATGGTCCTGCTCACCTTGTCTAATTTCACTTGAGCAAATTCTCAGGCCTTTTTCATGACACAAGTTTGTCGAGTTTAGAAATTTACTTACCCGGTCGATGCTGGCCCTGGCTTGACTCTCATAGTCTGGCACAGAGTGCTTCCAGCCAACACAGCGGCCCTGTGGGAAGTGATCCTCTGGGAAGGCGAGCAGTGGCATTGTCTTCACAGAAGGACGGTATCAGAAGGGACAGGGCTTGGAAAGCACGTGTCCTTATAGTTCGTTGTCCACATTCAGCCTGGAGAATTCCTCAGTGGCAAGAGCCACCAAAAGAAGCCAATCTAAGAGAATTAGTATGGAATTATCTCCCATGCAAGCATTGCCTGTATATGCTAGGTTTCCTTTTTCATTTTATTTACTTATTTTTTTGTGAGAGGTTTTTGTTGTAGGGCACATGCATTCACCAGAAAGACAGAGACAGAAAGCGAGAAATCACCCCCCGGGGGCATGGCCACGCTGCAATCCCTTCTCCTCCATTCTCCCCTCAGGATCTTGGGCACACACGCACGCACGCACACGTGCCAGACATGAGTTTAAGCCACTGGGTCCGGGACTTGAACCACGGTCAGCTACATGGGAGTCCAGCATTATAGCCATTACGCAACTGCTGGTTCCTACTAGGTTTCCTTTTAATAGAAAAGGGTGGGTTTGTGTGCACACAGAAGACTTAGGGAAGAATGAAATGCAGTTAGAAGTATATTTACCGAAGGACAGGCACACAATTAGAAAGACACTCCCATCCGTGTTTATTGCAACATTATTCACAATTGCTAAAGCGGGTCCATCTGAGTGCCCAGCAGCTGATACCTGGCCTGAAATGATGTGACACAGACGCTATGGAACACTACCAAGCCGTAAACACAAGACAGAAGACTCAATGCTAAGTGAAATAAGCCAGACTATGAAAGGCAAACATTGTATGTCCCTGCTCAAGATATGTCCAGCGTCTGCAGTCCACGGGACAAGTGGAAAGATTCTGAGGGGAATAGTAGAGAGGCCAAGTGCCGGTACCAGAGTCTGTGTGGATGGTGGCGTGGTGGGGGAGGCGGTGGAAGAGGCTCAGGAAAAAAGCATTTAACAGACACGAGAGCGAAGGGCTCTTTGTTGAAAATTATATGTATGGTAATATTCTCTGTTTGATTATCACATACCGTGTGCGTACTTTGAAAACTAAATTGTGCGCCACAAAGACGTGCAACAGTTAAATGTAAATTAAAAATTACAAAATAAAATTTGAAACAAGAAAGCCCGATGCTTGACTTCAGTGCCACCCACAGCAAGCCCGCACGTCTCGTCCCGTTGTTGTACAGCTGTTGGCATTTAGTCTGCCTCTTCCCTCGTGTTCAGATTCAGAAGTTTATTGCCAAAGAAAGTGAAGAGTAGCCATGACAGATGCTGTTTAGGAACAAATGATAGCGTCTGGGTTTTGATGAAACGTCACTCTGTTGCAGATGGTCAAACTGCTCTTGTCAAGAGGTGCCAATATTAATGCTTTCGATAAGAAAGACCGGCGCGCTATCCACTGGGCGGCGTATATGGGTACGTACCGTCACATTTGCTTTTCAACATTGGGGATTCGGGGAAAGCCGTGCATGTTAGTGTTTGCCGTTCGCATAGCACGTGTCTTTCAGCGCAGTGAGAACTTACCCTGAGTCTGAATCTGTCGCCCGGTGGAAGTGACCTGTTTGCGTGGTGGGTTTGCCACAGCTTCTCTGGAAGCTCTGTGACCTTCATTCTGTTTGCCTTCCAAGGAAAAGACCGCCCAGATGCAAGCCTGCCATAGGTCATTTAAAATTGGTGTTTAATACCTGCAAGCCTATTTTCATGCCTATTCTTGTTTTTATGGGCATACTAAGGTAGAGGTTAGGGAAATGTATTAGGAAGCTTGTTATTTTGGGCCTGGCATTGAGTTAAATATGATTCCTTTAACAGTAATTTCACAGAAACTGAGACTTAGAAACCCAGGCTTTTCTGCTATGAGATGATATACCATGACCAGTTCTTGAAAAATCCCAGAGGTCTGCAGAGTTGCAGTCAGTAGCTGAGTAGCTGAGATCCATGACCACCCAGAACCTGTTGAGGTCTGTGACCAGAGCACTGACCGAGGTGTGGCTTGGTCCTGGAGGGTCCTGGAGGTACCTGGAGCCACGCAGGCAGCCTGGCTTGTTCCAGGACATGCTAAAATGCAATTGCAGGAGGCAGCGGGCTAGCTCTGGCCGGTGGCTCCTGAGACCCTGCGAACGCAAATGCAGTGCATCTTTAAGCTCCGGTCAGGCTGGGGCCGGGGGCCCTGCAGAGCGCAGGTTGTGTATTTGTTTCTCAGGTTTCTTGAAAACTTGAAAGTAAGAGAGTGAAAAGAACTCTCCCCTTCGGAGCCATGAAGTTTGGGGCTTTTTCTCTTCCTACCAAACGTTATAATTCTGCTCCTGCTATTTTGGCTGCTCTGGCTAGGAAAATTCTCGTACACTAACCCATCTTCTGTGAACTGACCCATCTTTGTGTGATACTGTCATGGTCCCATGATTTACGGGTCACACTCACTGCTTACAGAGGCATCCATCTAGCTAGTCACTCTTACTGCCGGCGTGGCTGACCCGGCCCCTCCCTGCCCTGTCTCTCACTCACAGATAATGGACTGGAGCCCGAGCCCTGGGAGATGCTGTGGTCCACAGCTGGTCCCCATGGGAGCCCGAGCCCTGTGAGATCTGTGGTCCACAGCTGGCCATGTGGGAGCCCGAGCCCTGTGAGATCTGTGGTCCACACACTGCTTACAGAGGCATCCATCTAGCTAGTCACTCTTACTGCCGGCGTGGCTGACCCGGCCCCTCCCTGCCCTGTCTCTCACTCACAGATAATGGACTGGAGCCCGAGCCCTGGGAGATGCTGTGGTCCACAGCTGGCCCCCATGGGAGCCCGAGCCCTGTGAGATCTGTGGTCCACAGCTGGCCCCCATGGGAGCCCGAGCCCTGTGAGATCTGTGGTCCACAGCTGGCCACGTGGGAGCCCGAGCCCTGGGAGATCTGTGGTCCACAGCCTGCCCACATGGGAGCCCGAGCCCTGTGAGATCTGTGGTCCACAGCCGGGCTGCATGGGAGCCTGAGTTCGACTCCTGGTTAGATGGAAAAGCCTGGCCGTGGGAGGTGCCTGTAATTCCAGCAGCTTAGGAGGTTGAGGCAGAAGGATCTCAAGGTCAAGGCTGGCTTGGGCAATGTAATGAGACCCTTTTTTTTTTTTTTTTTTTTTTAACAACAACAACAAAGAGCCAGGCATAGTGCCATGCACCTGTACTCCCAGTGGGGGGTTGAGGCAGGAGGTCACCACAGCAAAGCTCCATCAAAACGGCAACATGAAAATGGAGTGAGGATTTAATGGAGGGTTATTCATTTACAAACTGTATAACCTTGTCAAATAAATGCAAAAGGAATATGTATGTGTGTGTGCATGTATATGTTTATATGCCTGTAAATATACACGTGTGTATATGTACTGTACATGTGTTTATATACATATGTGCATGTGTATATAGATACACACATATAGGTGTGTGTACATTATATACATGTATATACATGTGCATATATGAATTAATGGGGAGTCTTGAAAAAATGTATGGAAAATGAGTATTATCTGTATTATGAATAAACTTTTTGAATGACTTCTTTATATGAAACTAGATATAAATACCCACCAAGTCCTTGACTAGTGGCTTGAGACTGAATGCAGTTCGAGTCCCAGACACAGCAGCGTATGCATGCATGGCCAAAATCCCCAGAGGGGAGTGGAGAAGGGACTGCTTCGTGCCCATAACCCCCGGGGTGACTTCTCACTTTCTCTTTCTACGTCTCTTCGGTGAGCACACACCATATGGCAGACATTTCTCTCAAAAAATAAGCAATTAAAAGTAAAATATGGCTTTGGGGCCTGCCAATGGTGTGGTTGAAGAGCTAGACTCCCACATGCTAACTGCGGTTCTAGTCCCAGACCTGGCGCTTACTTTCTCATTCTCCCTCTCTCTCTCCCTCTCTCCCACTTTCGTGAATGTATGTGCCCTATAGCAAATTTTAAAACAATAATATAAAATAAAATTAAATAAATATTTTAAAATTAATAAAAATGGAATATGTCTTTATTGGTATTCAGACACCTTAGTACTTCCTGGGACCCACTTGTTCACTCACACAAGTAACCTGAGCTGCACCGTTTGCTTAGGATGGTGTATTGGTTTTGAACAGCTCCTTCAGCGTGTTTGTGTATTTGCCTTCTAGTTTTAAACCCCGTGAGACATTAGTTTCTTTCGGTTGTTAATTAATATGCCTTCTCCCAGTTTGATAGGTTGTATACACATGTGAGCCTTCTGGGTGTTGTAAGTCCCCATGGTCACTGCAGGATGATGAACCCAAATATCTGTCTTTTCAGAACCATGGCTCGGAGGATGACTTAACAGGGAGGGTCTCTCACTGTAGTCACATTTCATCTGGCACCTTACGATTTGATAAATACCATTTTTGTTTTTTTCCTAGAAACACAATGGTACAATTTCCTTTTCTTATTGAGATGGAGGGGGACTTAAAAATTACACTTTAATTGATAGTTTACATATTATCATAATAAACCTGCCTGACCCTTGATGCATCTGCTAGTATTGGGCTTGGCTTTGTTGAGGGGGTGAACTCCCTGGTACGGCCCCATTACGATTATAGTTTACTAACTTTATATGCTCGTTCTCCATCAGTAATTTTTTAGTGGTATCACTAGTAATTTATTTAACATAACAAGTTTTTTTTTTAAGAGTTATTTTATGTATGTATTTATTTATTTTAATTTGACCAGAGAGGGACAGAGTAGAGAGAGAAGGAAAGTAAAAAAGCAAACTGCCAGGTCCAGGACTCGAACCACTGTCAGCCACACGGGAGTCCAGCACCCTTAACCACCCATCCACCTGCCGACTCCAGTGTAACAAGTACTTATTGTATGCCTATTTTATATGTAACATTGCTCTTGGCCCAATGAAATAGACCAAGAAGTAGAACATATAATCTTTGCCTTTGAAGGTATAAACTCAAGTTAATACAAAAAAGTAACTAAATAGTTAATGAATTATTCCATTTTAAGAAACATTGCATGGCATTATATGGTTATTAGATAGGATTTATAGATTTCAGTTCTAGGGAATAGAGGTGCCTGGGTTGGTTAGGGCAGAGAACCAGTGACCAATGGGGCATTTGGCAGAAAGCGCCACATCACACAGGAAGGAACCTCCTGAACAGGGACTTGGATGTGGGAGGACCCGCAGAGGTGCAAGCACTAGGTAACCAGTCAGAACCAAGAGTCCTGAAAGGAGAATGGTGGCTCTCTGGCCTTCCCAGCACTTAGCCCCTTCCTGGCCTCTGTATGGTTCCAGCAGCCCGGCCCAGCTAAGTGACCTCGCTGTGGGCCAGGGCATCCGCTTCCTGACGGGCTCTCCAGTCTGTCCCTGCGGGCAGTGAGCTGCCTTGTTAGGGAGACGTCGGCTGCGTGCATCTAGGCCTTGGAGTGAGGACAGAGCCCTTTTGCCGTTCTACTCTGGTTTAAATGAGACATGAACTCGAATTGCCGACGCCACTGAGAGGTGGGGGGTGGCTGCTAGCCAGAGCCCAGAGTCCCCTTAGCCTGCCTGAGTGCCGTAAGGCTGTGCAGCCTACTGACAGTGTGTCGGTCAGGGACCCCTGCAGAGATCATTTGAAAGTGGGAGTGTTTGGCTGTGTGCTCTAAAGACCTAGCATTTCTCAGAAACAAGCCGACGTCACTCCACTTCCCAAGGAGAAGATGATTCCAACGAGTTAAAGAAATGCAGTGTTTTTATAGACACACAAAACTATCTGCAGAATGTAAGAATATGGCCCTGGGGGAGAAAACTAGAAGATCTAGGCAAAAGGAAGATGATAGATTGCAGGGTTATCATTGCATTAAAAAAATTCAAGAGTGTTGCTTAAAAATTATTTTCTATTATCAGCATTATCAGAAATAGCCTGAATTCTTCTTTTTTTCCTCCGTCCTCTCAAGTTATAACATGACTTAGGGGTGATTTGTGCGTTACTACTTAATTTGCATTTTTGACTTTGTTCACAGATACTCAGAACCACGTTTACTGGTCTCCGTGTGCTCACCTCTCTCCTCTCCAGGTCACATTGAGGTAGTGAAGCTGCTCGTGGTACACGGCGCGGAGGTGACGTGCAAGGACAAGAAGGCCTACACGCCCCTGCACGCCGCGGCCTCCAGCGGGATGATCAGCGTCGTGAAGTACCTGCTGGATCTCGGAGTGGATGTAGGTGCATGGCCTGGCAGCGCAGTGCAGAGTAGCCAGCGGTTCACGCTTCCTGCCGAGGGCCGGGCCACGGGTTGAGGAGACAGCCCACGGAGCAACGTGTAGTGATGCTTTTGACTTCTAGCCTTCATCTGTGCAGGGGTCCCTAACCTTCAGGCACCAGGGTCCAGCCTCGTAGGAGACAGTCCTCCACCTCCACGGAGGGGTTGGTGCCAAGATGCCTGAGGCACGCCACACCATCCGCCCTACCCCGGCCCACCGTGCTACCCTTCCCACGGCTACCACAGTCAGTGTCCAGTGAGATCGGCGTTCCCGCGAGCTGGTCCGACAGGAGCCAGATGACAGAGCCCCCTCGTTCTCCGGCTGCCGCCACGCAGAGCCCCCCTCGTTCTCCGGCTGCCCACCTCCACACACACACACACACACACACACACACACACACACACACACACGACCCAAGGTATGAGGAACGGCTCTCAGGGTGCGCCTGGCAGGCCACAGCCCAGACATTGAGGACCCTGACCTGTGCTCGGTCACGATCAGGACGTGAGGCTGGGGCCGGATGGTGGCGCGGCTGCGGACTCTACTGGTCCTGCCTTTGGGCCTTTCCGTGCCGCAGCACCCCCAGTTCTGTGGCTTACTTGTTTCCTAGGGATGGCATAGCATGTATCACAGACTATGTGACTTCAAACGACAGAAATTCTGGGATCGGCAGCGTAATGGCTATGTTGCTGGACTCCCATGTAGTCGACTGCGGTTCGCGGCCCGGACCTGGTGGCTTAAACGTGCACCAGGCGTGTGGGTGTGCATGCCCAAGATCCTGAGAGGAAAATGGAGGAGAAGGGACTGCGGCGTGGCCATCGCCCCTGGGGGGTGATTTCTTACTTGCACACTCGGCGTGGCGTGCTCGCTCTCTCTCACTCTCACTCTCTCTCTCTCTCTCTCTCTCTCTCTGGCAAGTGCATGTATCCGATAGCAAAAATCTCTCTTCAAAAATACAAGCCTGGGAACCAGCAGTTAGTGTAATGGCTATGTTGCTGGACTCCCACGTAGTCGACCGTGGTTCGCATCCTGGAACCGGTGGCTTAAAACTCACACCGGGGGCGTTTGTGTGCGTGCCTAAGATCCCGAGAGGAGAATGGAGGAGAAGGGATTGTGGCATGGCCATCTCCTCTGGGGGGTGATTTCTTGCTTTCTGTCTCTATGTCTCTCTGTCTGTCTGGTGAGCGCACACGCCCTATGGCAAAAACCTCTCCAAAAAAAAAAAAATACAAGCCTGTAATTCTTTTATAAGCTTGTATTCATCCCTGTTTGTTTTGCACTGTAATAATTTGATTGCAACTACGTGGTTGCTAAAATAACAGTAATGATAATGAGCGAGATTACTGCGGCATTAACATGTTCTCCTTCCAATAGATGAATGAGCCGAACACCTACGGAAACACAGCCCTGCACGTGGCCTGCTATAACGGACAGGACGTTGTGGTGAACGAGCTCATAGACTGTGGTGCTAACGTCAATCAGAAGAACGAGAAAGGCTTCACCCCCTTGCACTTCGCTGCCGCGTCCACACACGGAGCGCTGTGCTTAGAGCTGCTAGTTGGCAACGGGGCCGACGTCAACACGAAGGTACGGAGCGGTTCCGAATCTGCTCTCGGGGACTACGGAGTTTGTCGCTTTGCCTTTTTTCTGTCTCTCCGGTCACTGCACAAGCCCTCTGGCAAATTTTAAATAATAATAATTAAGAAATAGAAACACACATAGACCTTAAGAAGACGATGACACTGAATGAAAGCGTTCCACGGAAGTCTGCACGGTTGCCATGGGTGTGAGGTTCTCAAGCAGAGAGCCGCTCCCACGGCATTCCGGAGTGCGGGGCTGTGCGGTGGGGAAGGCCGCACGGCCCCGTCTGAGCAGCCGACCGGCGGCCGTGCAGGCACTTCGTGACGATGGCACTGCTTTCTCCTCGGCGGGGCCCCGGGCTGTGTAGTGACGGCCTGCTCAGCATCCTCGCGGCGGTCTACTGAGGACAGGGACGCCCCGGTACCTGTGCGTTTCCTCCAGGAGGAAGCGAACTTGACCTAGTGTGGACCCTCAGCCTTACGATAGGAACACTAGTTGTTTAGAAGGGACGCAGGGTCGTCTGTTACTAATTTCCTTTGATGATTTACTTCATTTTATGTATTAGTACTTACTGTAGAGCACAGATGCTCACACCGCCTGCTGGCCCCGTGCAGCTAATCTTTAGAAGCATAAAATAATCGAATGGGTGAGTGGGTAGATAAGTGATAAAGAATATACAGTTGTTTGTGATATGTAAACGAGTGTTGAAAAAAATTCCTTTTTTTCAGAGAGATTTTTTGCTATAGGGCATGCGCTCTTGCTAAAGAGACAGAGACGGAACGTGAGAAATCACCCACCCTGCCCCAGGGGGAATGGCCACACGGCAATCCCTTCTCCTTCATGCTCCTCCCAGGAGTGTATGCACATGTGCCCAACCTGAGTCTCAAGCCCCTAGGCCAGGACTCGAACTGTGGTCGGCCATGTGGGAGTCCGGCGCCTTAAGCACTATGCCCTCTGCTGGCCTCCCCCACTTTCGTTTTAACACTACTTCTTGTTTTCTTGATCACATTTTCTTTCTCCCTACTTCGTCTTTCCCTGCTCCCTGTTGGCTCTGTGTTTCTGTCCTTGATGAGGTTTTAGAGGACCGGAAGTTGGAATGTGAACCTACGTTTGTAATCATCCAATCTCTCAGTGTTTTCTCGGGTGAGAGGATGACTTTTGGAAAGGCAGGGTGGCTCTGGTCTTGACAGCTGCTCAGACGTGAGCCTTGCTGTCGTGGTTGCTTCACTTATGTGTGTACCTTGTCCTGCCCACTGTTCTCGAGGGTAAATTTGGGTCTTCTAAGCCAAGTACACAAACACTAGGTTTAAAAATTAACCCTAAAAAGTACTGTTCGAACTGTCACTTTTTTTTTTTTTTTTTTTGGAGAGGTTTTTGCTATAGGGCACGTGCGCTCGCCAGAGAGACAGAGAGAGACAGAGAGACAGAAAGCGAGAAATCACCCCCCAGGGGGGATGGTCACACCGCAATCCCTTCTCCTCCATTCTCCTCTCGGGATCTTGGGCACACACGCACACGCACCTGGCGTGAGTTTAAGCCACCAGGTCCGGGACTCGAACTGCGGTCGACTATGTGGGAGCCCAGTGACTTAGCCATTACGCTAACTGCTGGTCCCAATGTATGTCACTTTTTCACTGTTACTAGTTTTGGTCACCTATGAAACCACCTTTTGATTTTTTTAGGTCTTTCTGTTTTGTTTTGTTTTTTCCCTTAAAACTTGACTTTAAAATTACTTTTGGTGATTAAGAATAAAAATCTTAGAATCAGCAGATTGGTAATGGTTACTCCACTGGACTCCCACGCAGTCAACCGTGGTTTGAGTCCTGGACATGGAGGCTTAAAACTCTCGCTGGGCACATGTGCGTGTGTGCCCAAAATCCCAAGAGGAGAATGGAGGAGAAGGGATTGCGGTATGGCCATCACCCCGGGGGGTGATAGCTCGCTTTCTGTCTCTCCTGTGAGTGCGTGTATTCTATAGCAAAAATCTCTCTTAAAAAAAAAAAAAAAAAAAAAACTCCACATTGTTTCTCTAGTTGAGAAAGACATAATTGTGCCCTCTTCCCTCCTAACGTGTTTTCAGGCAGAATTTTCAGTTGATAAACTGAGTATTTCTTTTGTATATTTAGAATGTTTTTATGCTCCGCATGTAGAAAGTTAAAGTGTCAATCTATTGAGTAATGCCACCACAGCCTAAAATAAAGGAGCCTGCTGCTTCCGAGCTGTGAGACCTGGTAATTACGTAGCCCGGGGCCAGACGTTCTCCATTCGCGCAGAGTGGAGAGTGATGTGAGGCAGCCTGTCTGTCCTGTTTGAGCCGCACCTTGGAGCGGCCCGTAGCCTAGTGGTTAAGGCAGACAGAACCCACGTGGCCACATGCCATTTACTCCTGACCATAGCAGCCTGAAAACTGCGCGGCCCTGTGCACGAGCGTGCCCAGCCCGGCGAGATGGAGAAGTGCAGGGGAGGGCCGCGGCACGGCCCCTGCTGGGCTTTTTCCCCGTCTCTCTGGCAAGTGCACAATCCCTCTGGCAGTTAACAAAGTAGAATAAAAATAAACTGTGCCTTGAAACATAGTGCTGTGTGTGTAACTATAATTACATCTTCCAAATTTCAGTGTTTTATAAATTCACATTTTTATTATAGGTACTTGTCTGTTTTGTTTTTATTTGTTTTAAAAAAACAAAACTATAGGTGAAATATTAACTTTAAAAGTATGCCATACAGGGAACGGTTTGAAAGGGAGAACTGGGGCTAGCCCTGGCCTGCTGGTTAGGGCAGCTGGATCTCACATCGAGTCCGGACCTGGCAGCTTGAGAGACACCCGTGTCCACGTGCACCCAGAGTCCTGACAAGGGAGACGGGGAGAGGGCTCTGTGACATTGCCCGGAGGGGATGCTTTCTTACTTTCTCTCTCCTCTCTCTCCGCCTTCCCTCCCACCCCCCCTCCATCTCTCGTAAATTAAAAGAAATTAAAAGAAAAGGCAGAACTGGCTGAGGGGCTGCGAGCTGCAGGAGAGTCTCTCCTTTGTGTTGGTTATGTTTATGTTCTTGATTAATTAAAAGATTTTAGGAAAGAAAAATAAATCACCTGGGGGCCAGCAGGTAGCATGGTAGTTAAGGTGCTGGACTCCCACATGTCCGACTTCAGTTCGGGTCCCCAATCCAGCAGCTTGAAAATAATGCCAGGTGCACACATGCACACCCAAAATCCTGGAACGGGAGTGGAGGAGAAGGGACAGGGGCATGGCCATGCTCACGGGGGGGATTCTCTGTCTTTGTCTGTTGCTATCTGGCAAGCACACGTGCCCCATGGCAAAAACCTAAAAAGAAAGAAAAGAAATCACCTAACTCAGAAGAAAAGTCACCACACTTGTGGTTTCTTTTGTCTTCGTTTGTGAGATTCCTTTAGAATTACTTCGTGAGGGGCCGGCAGTTGGCGTGGTGGTTAAGGACGCTGGACTCCCACATGGCCAACTGTGGTTCAAATCCTGGACCTGGGGGCTTCCTTTTT